CGGACTAGAGGGTCTGGAACGCATGGTGAGCCTTGCTAACTGTTGACGGAGACTTTCTGCTTCACGTTGAGCAGACTCTAACTGAGAAGATATCAATAACTCCGTCTGCATTAGAAGACGCTTCTTAATACCTGACTGTCATATCAGGATGAAAAGGGCTGGTGAGTACATTCAGAACCGAGGCATCGATGTGGAAACTTACGATCTGTGCTGACTCTCCAGATTTTGAAGATGTTCCATCAAATTATCCTCCACAATCTTAGCCCTCGTCATGTCATGATCATAAATCTTCCTTTTCCGCTTATACTCATGTTTCAGCAAGCGATACATTTCGCTCTGATTCTGCCATTCAGATTCCTTGCGCTTATGCCGTTGAATCGCAGTCAAGGCTTTGCGCAACGCTCTGCTCTAAGGTGACGGTTCGAGGATCGGCACGAGGCTGAGACGGCGGCGGTATATTTACGTACCGCATCCGCATTCCTCCCTGTCAACCATTCTTCCACCTCGACGATTATTTGAGCTAGTTCACTCTCGGGCGTGTCCTCCCCCGATGCCAGAGCCAACCGCTGCAGAAGCTCGATCTCCTCCAACTGGGTTTGCGAGTAGCCGATCCGAGGTGTAGCAGGTGTCACGCCTGCCTCATCCGGCGGCACACGATCTACGTGAAGCCGCTTGATGCGATCTCTGAGGAAAGCCTTCCTGCATAACGGGCATATGCTGGGATTGAGCCTGCTTAGACATCTGCACGATGAATATAGAGCAATTTAAGCATGGTAAGCACAGCATCAGATTACTGCGCAGCGTACGGATGGCAGAAGACATGGCCGCAGGATATTGCATGGGGAGTCTGCTGCGGCGAAGCGAACGAATATTCGTCGAGACAAACATCACAACGACTGAGGGGGTGCAGTATGAGCATTGCTTGAGAGGGTGCCGGGGAGAGTCATGGCAGTACGAGACAAGGCGCGGAGGGGATGATAAGGTTTATTGCCTCCGTACCATAAGGCAGTCCGTTTTTGGAAGGTGTCGCTGTTTGCGCTTGTCGGACGGAGAGGTGGCAAGGCCTCCTCGGAACGGCGCATATTTCAGTCGGAATGCATGAGGGCGGAGAGCAGCACGGCGGGAGTTATGAGCCAGAATTTGCGTATCGTGCTTGGTAAGTTTATTGAGCCTGAGGTGAAGATGGAAAGCAATGAATCAGGACCCAGTGTTCCGAATAGGGGATGTTCATTATTGCACCGCCGAACGATATAGGTCATACAAAACTAGAATAAACTATGGGAAGAGATGGCTAACACTCTGACCTGACCCAGTCCCCACTGTTCAAGTCTAATGAGATACGGTGACTGGTGACACAGGGTACCGTCGCAGAGCTTCCGCGGCTTCAGCTCTAGCAGCGAGCAAATGCCGCATAAGTCGCCTAGATGAGACGGGTTTCACTTCGTTCCATGCGGATGGAACCTGCGGTACTTGTCCGTCCACGGGGCGACGCTTGATGAATGGGTTGACCACGGGTGGGGGTGGAGTACAGTAGTGAGGGAGTTCGGCAGGGGACACGTCTGAAGCACGCGGAGAGAGCAGACCCCCGAGGAGTTTGTACGAGGCGACCAGGCGCTTGAACCTGCGGGGATGATCGAGTCAGTTGCTACAAGGACGACTCGGATAAGAAAAGCTTACTGTCGATAATTTCCTATGTCCGACAGGAATACGAGAATTTAGTGTACATCATAATGAGGTCAAAGAGAATCTCGGTACCTCGTACAAGAGCATTATGCCATCGGACAAGCGCCCACCCCACGACATAGGCGGTAGTAATTGTACCAAGTACTTCCTTCACCTTCCCGGTCCACCCACTCCCGCAGAACACCCATTGCCCGGCGCGTGTGATTCCAGCCACGACGTCTGGAATTCTCTGAAGCAGATCCGAAGATTTTACCGAGCTGCACGCAAGGTAGCGCAAGAATCTAGCGGCACCGAATCCCGCCGCTCCAAGGCCCAGCCCTCTGCCTACCCCGCCGACGATAGTCTTGTATTGCGCGATGCCCTCTTCTTCGCCCGGGGTAGCGAGGAAGCGGGCAGCAAGCTGGAGAATAGCATACCGACAGTTTAGTGACGAACGTTCGCCAAGCTCAGGACCGTGCACTTACCTTACCCATGACGTATGCAGGGATATGGACCACAAACGGCGGGAGGAAGAGAATAAAACGAGGGTAAAGGAATGTAACCAGTGCATTGCAGACGAATATCCGGAGGGCGCTCCTTGCAGTCACGAGGGATGTTCCTGGTGTGTTCGCAGGGAGGAGGGGAGCTCGCTCGTCTGTCCCTGGAGACGGACTCGGGAGGATGGATGATAGTGTTGTGTGGTCTAAGCCCGTGTAGTGGAGTAAAGAATAGTATTTCAGCAGCGCTTGCTTGACTTTGGGATGGGGCGATGTTGATAGTGAGTCAATTACTCTGAAGAGACCCTGTGAGCTTGAATCAATCGCATTGACTTTGCGTGGTTGGCCCAGTGGTTCTGCACCTGCGCCCTCCCGCTTGAACGCACCTTTGTGACGTTCCTACGAAATCCTTCAAAGGTATATCGGTATCCCGAGGCCATAGCAGGTCTCGTGCCATCCGAGAGACATATAGTGTATCCCTACCGTATAAAATTGAGGTCATTACCGGTCGTTTCATCAAGAATTACCTAGACCAACCAATCTGGTGCATTTACCGTCAACTCAATAATCCGCTTCTCTATTTCTGCGGTCAATTCTTTGACAATACGACGAGCATCCTCCTCGGAGTCATTGTTTGAGCCTTCCAAAGCTGGGATGGGCTGGGAGTATGGAGAAAGGCGGATGGGCTCGCCATACCTGCGGAAAAACGTCAACTCGTGACTGCTCGAGATGCTCCCTAAACTAACTTCACGCAAAGCTAACGCACGCGAAACGGCGCATACATCCATGTTCAATTCCAGCATTCGTCTCAGGAAGCCTACTGATGCACGCACCCGACTCTGATATTTCGACTTATCCGTATAGACAATCCCAACGGGCACGATCACGAGGTCCGTACCGTCTCTGCCATGTTCCTTCGCCCACCGCACATACTCCACCGCCGCCCACGCCGCGCCCTCTTTCACCTGCGCGATCCGCGGCTCGGTGTAACTCGTCCCTTCCGGGAACACGCCAATGACCTCCCCCTTCGCGAGCGTCTCCGAGGTACTGTCAAAGAGCGACTTCGCGGACGGAGTGCGTGCGGCCGAGTTGGAGTTCGGGTTGCGGTACACTGGGATGGCGCCTGAGGACGTCAGGATCACGCGCGAGAGGGGATTCTTGAACATTGTAGACTTTGCCCAGAAACATAGGTGTCGTCTGTACGGGATGGTGGCCGCTTGATTTACATATCGCATATAGTAAGTTGATTATTGGTGTTACTGTGCTGGATTCCGACATACCGAGAGTAGCAATGTCTATCATTTCGTTGTGATGCGACGCGACGCTACCTCACACGAATTGTAGGTTGCTCTGATAACCCGTGGAACCTATGAAACTCACATTATTAGAGGACCAGCCTCTGGAACGTTGTGTTGTCCTTCGACATACACTTCCGAGTAGAACTCGGACAGCGCCCAGTCGGATATCTTACGCAGGGCACGGTAGACGAGCTTGAGTTCCATTCCATACGCTCTCTATTAGATGGTCTATAAGTCAAGCTTAGAAGAATCGAAAGGGGGTATCTCAAAGGTATGAGGAGATAGTGCGGGGCGGCAGTATGTGGTGGTTTGCGGCGGAAGACGTGATGTCGGCATCCTGATTGCGACACGTCCCAGACATCGACCCTTGGATTGCCTCCGACGGCGGAGCAGAGCTTGCACTTTGGTAAGTACGACCGCGACCGCAGGAGTTCAAAAAAAGCGCCAGGGATTCACACCCTTAGAAAAGGACTACCACAATGAGTCGAGAGGTCATGACACAAACACTCAGTAACTATGGCCAGATGCATTTCCAACAGCTTTCGCTAGCTTTCGTGTTTAGACTAAGAGAAGGCTAAGATCCATGAATTCATCGCAGCAGCCGTTGGAAGTTGAAGTATTAGAACGCGCTTTCCGCAGAGAGCACAGCGTACGCCAGCTTACGGCGGATATTTTGGTAGATCACTGAGCAGCTTATATCACAAGAGGTAATATCACAGAACAATGCTCGACCACGGAGCAGGGTTGAAATCCCGCTGCGTGTCGAGCGGCGACATATTCATCATTGCAAACATACAAGCATACATGCAACAATGATCCCAAAGGCCTTTTGGAGTCTCTGGATATAGCATAGCTTAGTAGATCATAGACGACGACCACGGCGACCACCCTATAAGACAAACCGATATAAGAACTCCATCCCAGACTATCCTGTAGTCTGATTGTGCATACCTTGCGACGGGTAGAGTCGGTGGGCACGGGGGTAACGTCCTCGATACGGCCAATGCGCATGCCAGCACGGGCAAGAGCACGAAGGGCACTCTGCGCACCAGGGCCGGGGGTCTTGGTGCCAGTTCCACCGGTGGCACGGAGTTTGATGTGCAGAGCTGTGATCCCGACCTCACGGCACCGGGCAGCGACGTCCTGAGCAGCCAACATGGCGGCGTACGGCGAAGACTCGTCACGGTCAGCCTTGACCTTCATACCACCTTCACCATAGCGCTATCTTAGCTCCAAGTCCGCGAACATGGTTGGCAGAGCTGGGTGAACTCACCAGTAACACGCGAGATGGTTTCCTTGCCAGAGAGATCAGTGACGTGCACGAAGGTGTCGTTGAACGACGCGAAGATGTGCGCGACGCCGAACACGAGCTCGCCTTCAGCGACTTGAGGGCCGAGCGAGACGGCGGCCTCTTCCTTGGGTGCCTTGGCTTTCTTCGGGGGCTATGGAGTGCATCCAGCGGTCAGCAACGCAATCCACCTTGTTCAAATGCGAATGACGAGCAGAACAACTTTTGGCTGGTCGAATGGGATGTATAGAGTCGTCGGGACAAGATACGCACCATTGTCGGCGAGCTTGAGTGCGGAGGTGGAAGGACTTGCTTCTGGACTCAGGAGGACAGAATGAAGAGATTCTGTAACATTACCTGATTAGGATGACTACAAATACAGCCAAATATTTGCGCCACAGGCGCGACTTTCCTTCAAGTCGGATTCGCGCTCGCGGTTCTGCTAGCCTTTTTGTCTCTCGCGTTGTGTAATATCTTCATCTCACAGCTAGCAGAAAGCGCACGACGTGATTTGAAAACAAAGGTGGAAGACGAAGGCTTAGGGCTGCTGAAGACTACTAGCATTATTAGTTCCTGCTTCCGCCATCTCATAGGAACCTCCGTCTTGCGTATGCTCGGGGATATTTCAGGACTCGCGGCCACTCATCACAGATGGACAGCCGTGACCCATATTCTCAAGCCCGGCACTCTTCTGCGGGAGTGCTAATCCTGTTCATATGACATACGGACCATATGTTGTTGTCTGTTTCGGTTTACGTTGTGGGCGCTCCTGGCATACCTCACCTGTTCCCATGAAACCGCCAGATGGATCTGGTGCCCGTTACGTTGGTGGTACCAGCTTGGGTACTTTGTCGGGGAATTGCCTGTCTTTCGTGATCAGCTTGGCACTTGAGGCTCTCGAGAGCTGGATATGTTGTGCTCTCCATTCGACATAATCCGACGGTCAAGCCCAAGCTCGGGAATTAGGCTTATCGGACCAGTGAAGAAGCTATACGCCTTGGACCCCTGTACAAGCGGAGCTCCATAGACCGAGGCACCCGAACGAATGGGATGACCACAGACATGTCTTCTAGACTAGGGACAGTTGCTCACGAAGGCTTCACCGCACAGGACAAGCTTCCGAGATGAATGGCGGCGTTCCTCGGCTTTCTTGGGAAGGGTTATCTTTGGTCCTCGCTTAAGGACACGTATATACAAGTATCTGGCTGACATCGATCCCGCGACCAAGGAAGTTATCTATCGCATTGGCCTAGGGAAAGCTGCCGTGTAATGCCTTCGGTATTTTTGCTCGTCCTCTACATTTTTGTCTTATTTTGCCTTTGGTCTTGGAGACGCTTGCATCGTCGACGGCTGCCTCCCGGGCCCAAAGGTTTACCTCTCATAGGAAACCTTCTCGATCTACTGCCGGACCAACTGCACTTGACGTTTGCGAAATGGTCTCAGCAGTATGGTACGCCTACTTGGTTATCTCGAGGCCAAAAGCACTCACCTGCGGACAGGGGACGTAGTGCACGTCAGTGTCTTGGGGCAACACATGATCATCCTAGGATCTCTCCAGGCTGCCTCCGACATCTTTGAGAAGAGATCTTCTATCTATTCAAGCAGGAATCGGATGCCCATGCTCGTTGAATTGTTCGCCTGCTCTTTACGATGGCTTAGGGACTAGGATGCTGATCCTTACCTCCGTTGCTTGAACACAGAGCCGGGTGGGATTGGGATTTCGCGCTGATGCCCTACGGGGAGCGATGGCGCAAAGAGCGCCGCACTTTCCACCAGCACTTCCACCAAGGCGTCGTGGACAGGTATCAACCGACCCAGATACGTGAAGCCCGCAGGTGTCTTAATCGTCTCCTTGCGGACCCGGATGATTTCTTGCATCATCTACGACAGTGCGTTCGTCCCTATAGCCGTTGAAGCCCTATAAACACTCGTGATCTTTAGCACATTCGCTGCTGCTGTCATGAATATTGCATATGGGATCGACGTCCTGACCAAAGATGATCCGTATATTACAACCGCCGAAATAGCCATAGGAAGTTTGTCAGAATCGAGCGTTCCCGGGGCTTTCCTGGTTAACCAGATTCCCATCCGTGGGTTATCCTCTTGTTGCCTGCGGCTGGCCCCTCATAACTGTTCATGGGCCAGTCAAGTACGTCCCGACTTGGTTCCCGGGTGCCGGTTTTAAGAAGAAGGCAGATTATTGGAGGCAAGTGTCAGACGACATGCTTAATAAACCATTCGAGACCGTGTTGGAGAATATGGCAAGCAAGTTGGACTTTCAGTTTATCAATCGCTGACCACATGAGCAGAGTCGAGGGACCGCTGTACCATCCGTGACATCTAAAATGCTTCAAGACCTGCCCGTAGAAGGGGATAATACGGATCAGTTTGAATTGATCAAGCACATAGGCGCCGCTGCCTACTCCGGTAATGTTTCACCATAATGAGGCGGAATCCGCTCTAATATAGCTCGAATATTATCCTAGCTGGTGCCGATACAGTACGTACTCCTGCACAGGACCTCGGTTGCCAGAGTGATACGAATCTATTCCAGACTGTGTCGGCAGTGCAGATGTTCTTCCTCGCTATGGCCAAGTATCCCCAGGTTCAGGCTCGCGCTCAGGCCGAGTTGGATGAGGTTGTCGGATCCAGCAGGCTACCGGAATTTTCTGACCGACCGCGTCTGCCCTACATAAACGCAATTATCATGGAAACTCTCCGATGGCAGCCCGTTACTCCGTTGGGTGAGCAGGTGACCACTCTGCCGTCCGTAAACTTTGCCGGATCGAAGTATTTCCAGCGTTTCCGCATTGTTCCACCGAAGATGACGAGTATAAAGGTTATTTCATTCCTAAGGGCTCCGTTTTATTCGGCAACACCTGGTATATCTTGTCGGACTCTCTGTCTTCTATAGCTAACTGTAGGCGCAAGGGCAATACTGCATGATCCGGAGGCGTATCCAGAACCCGAACGATTTATGCCTGAGAGGTTCCTGAAAGACGGCAAGATTAATGCCAATGCTAGTGATCCCGGCGTGGCAGCTTTTGGCTTTGGAAGACGGTGCATTTGTCCGCGATTTTGACTGATTGATGATTGACGTTCACCCCTTGCCAGAATTTGTCCTGGAAGATTCCTCAGTGACCGCGCGATGTTCAGCGTCATATCCTCTGTTCTTGCGGTCTTCAACATCACACCGCCTTTGGACGAACGAGGTAAGCCCAAAGCCCTTGAACCAGCAATGACCCGAGGCATTGTACGGTACGTATGAAGGCCTTCGACATCCACCTCCAGCCATGACTTAAACACTTCTAGCAATGTTGTCCCGTTCCACTGCATTGTCAGGCCACGATCCTCCGCTGCGGCCGCTCTGATACGAGCTCACGGGGAATAATCCTAACTCCCAGTAGCCGAGTACTGTAATAGTGCCCAACTTAATGGAGTTTCCCGTACAAATCAACGGCATTCACGGTGTTCGCTATCCTGGAAGTTCTGTTGCGGCTACCACAAACCCTGGCCCCCAAGACACCGCCAGAGGCTGCTCGCGACTGCTGATGGCGTTACTACCATTGAATGGCACCTTCAACGGAACCTTGGCTTTCTAAATGCTCGTGATCTGCTCACTTTGGTTCTCCGTTGTTCTCTTTGCTCCAGATTACGTGTAGGCGCCGGCGCTCAAGGAACGCTTCAGGACGCCGCACTCTCAACTCCCATGTCCATCCAGGTGGATCAGCCAGCGGTGCCAGGGTACAAGGTTACGTCGCGGCCTTGGCCGTCGTATTGTCCAGGGCGAATGTCCGAGTCTTAGTCGGCATGCGTGCTATCTCACGGGTTTCTACTACACCTGTCGTCTTAACCGTCGATGGTACACGCTCATCGAAATATTGGTTACCTCAAACTAGCTTCTGATATACAGAATGGTTCTCGGGCTGTGCAAGATTCGGACTTACGCCTTGCCCTCGATGACAGCTGTAAAACGGTCTTCCGTCTAGCGTGAACTAGATTTCTTCCGCGCCTCCCGCCTAGCACTTAATGTCTGTATGGCGCCGCTGCCTCTAAAAAGGTAAGTGACCACTGTCAAGACGTTCCGAAAAGATTTTGCTTATGCTTCCAGGAGCTGTCGAAATCGGCAATACCCCTCCGACTCGGTTTCCAACGTGTGCGCTCCTATCGAAGAGCATTTCCGGAGAGCTCATGGACAGCGTCGATCTCTATAGATATGCTGAACTTTCACCGTTAAATAAAAGGATTCGAAAACATGCAGCAATGCCTAGGGACTGATTTACCCTCCTCTTGAAAACTATAGGTTATCTCGCCTTGATCTTGTTATATGCGCGGGTGCAGACTCCTAAAAGGCAATCCAGTGTTACTATGCGTCTTGTCGTCATTCCGTTCCGTCCAGACCCAAGGCCAGCCTTAAGCTTCCAAATTCGCGACCCTGGGCGTTCCTATGAGGACGGGTTTGCAATGTCATTCCTACGTCTTCCATGCCAGCATGTCGCACCGGTGGACTGCGCCTTAAAGCGGAGGGCTTGCAGTAGGTCGTGCCAGGTCCTTGGCGTTTGCGATCTGCGTTGCGTTTCAGCAGAATGTCTGGTCTCGAAGTCCCCTCGTTGAGCTTGGACAATTCTCTAGGGGCACTCTTCACAGGGATCTTGGGTGCTGCGATCCTATTCGGTATAACTAACGCTCAGGTTTTCCTCTACTTTCATCAGCGTCAGACGGACTCCCTGTGTCTAAAGACCTTGGTAAGCATCTGCTCTCTAGGACGTTTGGTACTCAACAACTTCCCGCATTGAATTTAGATCTTCTCTTTATGGTATGATGTCTTTCTACCTACGAGACTTGCGGATTGCCAGCGTAACCCAGACATTATAGGCTCCTCGACGTGGTGCACTTAGCTTTCATTGCCCATACATTCTACTGGTATGCGATTTCCAACTATGGCGACATCCCGTCTCTACAATATATGACATGGTGCGTACATCTACTGCGCCATGACGCTTTGCGGCTTATCAGGGGGTTGCGCGCTATATCCTAGGAGCCTTTTGGTGCGTTTACAAACGTCACTTCCATATCCTACCGCTCACGCTTTTAGTTAGGCCCAGGTTATTATAACTGTAAGTCGCCTTCTTCGGAGGTACTGAAGTCAAGGTTGAGCCATTGTCTAGTCGACTAGCAATCTTATCATCAGAGGGTGAGTCTCTGTTGACAGACCATTGATATATGAACCGAATGTACCTGGTTCCTCCAGGATATTCATACGGAGAATATGGAGATGTAAGCCATCTTCAATCATAATACAGCAAAGGTATACTGACAGTCTTCTGTTTCAGTAAGCAGAGGCAATCACTACATCGTTCCGGTCATCGTGAGTGTAGGCGCCGTATGAAGAACTGGGTAACGCTGAATCGACCAGGGAATACCTACACTCGTAATCTTCGGTGTGTACTCATTTATCAACGCCAACGATAAGCGCTGATATGCTTCCTGCTAGGTTCTGGTATCGGTATGTGACTTGCCTTGATATCATGAACTGCGCTGAGCCTTACCATAGCGTATGCCGTGAAAGCGTGAGGTCTTCCTTAACAGGGTTGTATCCTAGTCTGATATCCTCATAGCCAGGGTGTTCGCGCGTTCGAAGAATACAGAAGGTTATCAGTGAGTGTATGCCCTCTATACTCGACTTTGGCGCCGATGACTCAGATCACTCCTCTGACATGGTACAGTGGATGCTTTACCTGGGTTACGCATGTAGCATGGTCGCCGACCAGTCGATATCTGTCTTGAATACATTGTTCCTCTGGAGAAGCCGGACCGAGTCGAAACCGTGAGTAAGGAGTTAAGCGTCAAATTACTTAGACATTTCGGATGAATATGGTGGTTTCAGAGTCGATGTCCCGAACATACTAGTAATATACGGAGTCAACGCAGGCATATTAACAAGGTTAGTATTTGTCTTACCCGCCCTAACGGTTAAGCTTATCATTTCCAATACAGTCTTTGTTCCTTGGTTATATTCCTGACGGTATATTTGTTCCTTTTGGGATAGGCGATGAGTCTCACCTATACTTCAAGTACGTGGCCATGCCTGGTAATCTGATTTCCGTAGCCTTCTATTTCCTCCTATGCAAATGTGGGTATAACTATCTTTTACTTGATAGAAAAGACGACTTCACCTCTTTCACAGTATACTTCAACACCTTACTGGGTTCCCTGAACGCTCGTCCACCCAAGCAGACGACGACACAGCAGACTGTCGCCATGTCTCCTGTCTCCGGTTCAAGACCCCGACGGTCCTTTGGCCTCGCCCGCCAGCCGAGGTCCCCAACATTTAACCAGGCATGAGCGCCCTGTCCAGCCCGCTTCTTTGCAACCGCTGACCAAGCTTTGTAGGCCGCAACCCTTGCGCCGTCTCAGATCGCTATCAACATCGAGACGGTGACGGAACAGAAAACCGACTCATTGGTACGGGACTCCAACGACCACGATTCCATCTCCAAAGTGCTGCGATTCACGAGTCAATATGCAGTCCCTGAAGCACCCCCAAAAATGGTCGACTCACTGAGCACGGAATCCGCTGAATAATTGTATCTCGCTTGAACGTGTATACCCCTATCCATACTATCGCACACTCAAGTAATCACGACTGGATTCCCTTGCGTATCAATTTGACATCTTGTATGACTCTGATACAAACATTCATTTACTATCGAGTGATACACGCATCGCGCCTGATAAGAGGTGGCCAGCAGGCTCGCCTCGTGCTCAGAGGCTGTTGAAGAGGAATGGAGCTATCTATCACGTACCAACACCTACACGACAGAATCCAGTAGTCCGTTGAGAGAGCCTGACCTACTAGCAGTTATATCGCCGCAGATATTGGCACACGACTAGCCCAAGACGCATCTGAGTAACGCAGATCCGACCCGACTTGCCTCATTCCTCAAATACGCACAGTATAGCGGTTCCTGGGAACCCGAAGCTTTCTTCTCCCCGACTACCCCGGAAGGTTCACACAAGCAGAAATGGCGGACGAGGATCCGTGCCGAGAGGATTGGCGCCCCGATATAGGTCCACTACCAGAAACTGCTGCGCGCAGATCGCATGGTCTTGTGGCCTTCATTCCGAAGAGGCGGTGATATGTCTGAGCTTCCGTGCAAGGAAAATGAGTATTGTTAAGTTGCCCTGTGAACGGTGTGTCATAGGGTAGAAACGAGGCTACCCGTTGTTATTCCTTACAGAGTGCGTGCAGCAGAGTGTGTCACAACACTGGCGTCAACAGACAAAAGTGTCTGTCACCAAGTCGTACAACACCCTTCGTACAACACCCTTTCGTCCGCGTCCCTGAAAGCAGCGTTAATTAATGACCCCGCACCCGCCCTGACGCAGATCACTCACGGACGAAGTTGATGAAATCCCGAGGACAACACTTCTTCGACCAACTCATGTAACATACGTAGGTATAGGCGATGTATGCGCTGTACGTACACCCGCCCAGGGAAGTCGGTTCCGCGTGCGGCGGCTGAGCCTGTACTGACGCAAATCGCCCAGGAATAGCTACGAGCATCGAGCGTAATCGGCGGCGTGGGTGCCGCGTCGTTCACACCTCAATGGGAATATCGGGTCCGGAAAATTCGCGGGACATGCTAAGAAAAGAGGGGCGAATGAATCATACTTGATCGAATGAATAGAATGGACACTCACTGTCCAGAGGAAAACTAGGACCAGGAAAATCAGGCCTCTGTGGCTCCACTTCCCCACTTCCCACTTCTCTAATAAGTGCTCGTCTTTGCGCAGGGTGCGGAGGCCAGATATAGATACCACAGATTAAGGTTCCGCGCGCAGGTACAAAGCAGAAAAGAACGGTGACGAGGGTGACGAGAGGCAGGAAACGCTGAGTAAGCCGGATAATCATCGACATGCGTCGAATCGTATCTTAGCTCAGAGGCACTGTGCTGCATAGTACTGAGCCGCTAGAAGTAGAAAGAATCGTGGTGAAAGGATGGAAGACAGTGGCCGGAATTGATTCAACATGCATGCACTGAAGATCGAGGATCCGACATTCTTTGTGAATGGAATGTGGGATGCTGGACCATCGAGAGCAAGCGCGGCCACCTGATCTGGTTGAAGCTGTTGTTTGCACCGGAGTGGACTGTCTTCGAATGAGGGTGCCTCCTATCAGCACATAGATAACGATGACCGACCGAGTGTTCATCCATGCATGTAGAGATCCGGAAGCCGATTTCCCTCTAAACGAGGACAACCGGATCCCCGTCGCTGACAGCAAGCGTGAACACCCAAATAGGGTCGGGAGCCTTGATCACATCGAAACACACTTACTGGCACTACGAATCGGAGATCAACATATCGAATACTAAGTACCCTTGATGGAAATCCCGGTCCAGCTCCCACTGCGCAACAATCTAGCAATGATCTTCAGCCAATCCAGTGTCGTCGAACCGCACAGGAAATGAAAAACAGACAAAGAACGTTCGCGTTCATTTCGCGCATCCATGTCATCCCGCTCCGAGGTAATGAAGCGCGAATGGCATCGCGCACGCGTCGCGGGTGAGATCCATCTCGCAGAGTCCAGTCCAGTCGATGCGATAATCGTGCACCCGCTCCGACGTTGATAACGTTCGGTCGGCCTGGCCTACAACGCGGGTGGACGCCAACGACAGCATAGACGAGGAGCCGGAAGGTTCTTGAACGCCACCATGAAAGACGGTCGTTTGTGGGACGCCCGCTGCTACGGGCCCACTTTGCCTGCGATATCAGATCACACTGGGCAGTCCCAAAACAAAACTCTATTGGGCACTCACGTTCTCCCGCCGGAAGCACCTGCAACATAGACTGTTCAGGTGGCCTGCGTACCTAAGCTCTCGCCGGAGCTTCCACCAGTGCCATTGAGCATCTGCTTGTTGTTTATGTACTGTGGGGGCGGTGTTGTACTGGGACGATCGCCGCAGCTGCTGTTATGCTTTTACGCTCGGCCGAGTACGTATCCCGCGCGCTGAACCCGCTATATCCGCGTGTATGTGGTGATTCAGCGTCCGACTGTGTCCAATGAAGTAAAAACGAACCTGAAGCCTCGTCATTCATAGACGTCGTCATTCACATGTGTGAATAGCCTTTCATGAGCGAAATGAGTACCACCGACCTCATACTCCAACTCAGCGACAGTAGGTAGGACCCCGGTCATAGTGGCCCTATCCGTATCGATACGGCGGCCATCGTGCAGGCTACCAAGTCAGTTGAGTAGCGATTTCTGCTGATCAGCTTTTGCATTCCAAATGCCCCGGCTCCGAGTGGGCTGACGCGACGCCGAACTGGCTTACTGCCCAAGTGGACTGTGGACTGTGGATTTCTATAGGTCTTTCGGGGGTCCTCACCTACGTATGTGACTGCTGGGAAGCCCGGACGGATCCAGATCCATCTAACTCGGATGGAAACATCTGCCCGACAATACTGGTTCACGAGGATCCGCTGCGAGAGAAAAGGGAGGAGGTACCTTGATACAAACAGGCTTTGTTGCCTGGAAACAAAGCAAAATTGTAGCTGCAACGAAACGCATATAGCCTGTTGTTTGAACCATAATTGCGTCGGGAACATCGTCCGAGGCACGTCCCGGCGAAGTTTTCGCTCATCATGATGTTTCGCGGGGTCTGTTGATTCATCCGTTACGACGTGAGAGCTGCCCGATACGGGTTGACCCTAACCAGAGAAAACGGAAGCAAATTAGGACGGAAGACGAAAAAGACTCCCTCTTTTTGATACGAAAAAAAACATACGACACATATATTTTCCCGCAGCTGTAAGCTGCCAGCAGGGTTGCAATTTGACCGCAAGGCGGGGGAGACTGAGGCGCTGCAGATGAAAGCAGCGTGTTTCGAGTCAGAGTCGGACAGTTTGTTGTTGTTTGGCGTGCGGGTCAAGGGCAAAAGGACAAAAAATCCCAATTAGGAATGCTTTGGATCTATTTATTCGTGCCTTATAAGCGAGCAGAAACCCTTGCCCTCGCTGCTCCCGCTCCCAACCTAATGCCGTTGTCGTTTTACAAGTCTATATGCTCACCTTTAATACTGGTTCCGTTTGCGATGTCTGTGCAGAGGAGTATGGCACCCAGAGGAGACCCCATTCGATAGCTTGCGGTATGTCTTTTCCGCTCGCGAACCGACTCAGAAAAATTTCAGGAGCGGTCGTCTGACCACAGAAATCTTGTTTCTACAGGGCATGTGTTATGCGGACCCTGCTGCAACGCTATCGTAGAAAAGACGAGCCCCAGGCTGTCCCCCGTCTGCCCGTTCTGCCGCGAGCAGTTCACCCGTGATTCCATTCGTTTGATCCGCGTCGATTTCGCATCTAGCAGTGGTGCCAGCACTCCCCGACGCCCGCTAACATCACTAGAAGCCAACGACATTCAAGCTGGAGAGGAGACAATATTATATGAGAGACGATCGGGCACCAAGAGTCCTCCGGTGGAGCCCGCCGTGAAGGAGAAGCAATTAGAGGCCAAGGTGGCCTGGGTAGCGGGGAAGAAATGCACGGTGGATGAAGTCCGTGACCTACTCAAGGAGCTCAAGATTTGGTTGCAGGCGGAGGCCGCGAACACCCAGGTGCGCTACGTCTGCTCACTCATCTCCTATCCCCAGCTAACCAACGATGTTGTCATTGTGCTAAACTTGATCCGGGTGCTATTCTAGCCCTCTTCCCTCCAGCTCAGCGCAGCCCTCCTGCATGCCATTCTCGCCAACCACTGCGCCCACGCAGAGGCCAACAGGGCTGCAAAAGCTACCGAGGCAAATCTCCGAGCCCAGATCGATGACCTCCAGATGTCCAAGACCAAGCTCCAAGCCGAGCTCGAACGACAAAAATCTGCCCTCGCGCAGAAAACCCAGGAATGCACCTCCCTCCGCGTGGAGCTCAACAAGATGAGGACCAGCCGCGCCGGGTCCGTCCTCGGGATCTCTACGGCACCCTCTTCAACCTACTCATCATCGACGTCATCCACTGCGACCTCCAGACCAACTTCCATGTCCCCCCTCAGTCCGCCTCTCGTCTCTCCGACCTCTCCAACCGCTACTGGAAAAACTGCAACGTCCCCGATCCAGGCTTATCCGCCCCATCCGTACCCATCCCTTCCCCGCCCACTCTCATCCTCGGCTTCGGCTTCGGCTTCAGCTACCTCCCGCTCGACATCCCTGCACCATCAACTACTCCAGGCTCACTTTCGCACCAGCACGCCCGCGAACTCGAACTCGCATCCCGTCTCCCCGCCAACACCGAAGCCCCCCGTCCCGCCGAAGCCATCAGGCTTCATCGACCCTGCTAAGCCGACGCCTAGCCCAGCACCGACAAGGCTGACGCGCTCGACGTCGGACGAGACAAGGAAAATGCATCAGCGGTGGATCCCCCCTGTGTCTGCGGAACGCTCGCACTCTCGCAGCTCCAGCGGCTCCTTTGGCGGCAGCGCTGGTTTGTCCAGGACGGGGTCGATCGCGGCGAGTTCGATGAACCAGCGATATACTGTGTCTTCTTGAACGACTTCTCGCGCGATACCCCCTTTCTTGGGTTTATGGGTTCTCTGGGATTGGATTCGACACTAGACGACTGATGAAGGACATGACCGACGACACGGATCGACGATGTCGACCAGCGCCTTATTTTTGTGCGCACTCTCCTCGCTTGCTTTGCAGACACGACGACTAGCTCTGACACGACATCGCGCTTCGTTAAATTATCCCTTTTTTTCTTTGTGCATTTTTCGATATCTACCCTTGCTCTCATCTCGTACTGGTCTCGACTGGGATGCTCCAGATACTTTCAACTTCTTGTACATAAATTTACCATACCCTTCTGTTGTACATCCTTCTACTGCTCCGTTTAATTCTGTTTTTTATCTCGTTTTTCTTCTCTTTTTACACTCTCAAATACCACATATCTGGAGTCTTCCCTTTTGCTTTTTTTTCCGAAACTATCTTGTTTCCTCTCTTGCTTCTGCTCCCTCTCGACATACCCCCCTTGTAGCGGCTAGCCCTTCCTCCTACCCTCTGACTCTGACTGACGATTTTCCACGACTTTTTCACGATAGCAACGAACTTTGGGTGGCGGAGATGGAGTACATCTACTCTACTAATACATAGACCAACCCATCACCATATTCCGTACAGTATGCTCTCAATGGCCAGTTATTCCGAACATCTTTCTGTCCTGTTTACAAGTTTGTCTGCGGAGGTACGTCTCTCTCGGTGTTCCTCCTTCATTTTCATTCTTCTCTTGTCATACTGGATTTGAATTGCATGCTTATCGCGAATCCTGCTCCTACAGGTTTTCACGCGTTGATATTATTCAACAAGTCTGTGATTCCTTGCGTTGAAGTTCGTTCACTTCGCGACTTGTTCATTCACGGAAGACTGGCAGTAGAGGTGCGTTTCCCTGCCACTGTCTGTCATGAGCAGCGGAGAGAGCCACGTACTGACTTCCACCTGCTCGTGCATCAGGCGTAGTGGCGAGACGTGCAAAAGTTCTCTAGCAGGACACCCGTTATTAGGTGAGCTAGCGTTCACCCGTGAATATTCCGGGGCCTCTCTTCTGACTGCATGTATTAGTTGGATTTGATGACGTATAGACGAACGTTCTTGTTTACGACTGGTTACGAACACATTACGAAACAAATATAAAACGGTCTTTGACCATATCCATGGTTCTGGGTTCTGTGCTCCCTGTCCGATATGGCTATGGTCGAGTATCGCTGGAAGACGATTACGAGGGCTAGACCGCGAGCGTGCGTCCAAAGACATGCCACTCACGCCGTCCCAGGAGTTGTGTCTGTTCGGCTTACCCTGTGCTCCCGTTCTATCTGACATGCTGCAAGGCTCGACTGCAACGTTTACATCCTACGCTCGGCAAGGCGATAAGCTGGTGCGGCAAATGTGCGACATTGTGTTTTGACTTGAGTAATCGGCGTCGCTCATCTCGACGTTAAATCATAACCGTTGTCTTGGCTCCCATCGATCGCTGCAATTTCTTCTGTGCTCGAACATAACGGGACACTGGCATGGACGCCCCATCTCGCGGCTCGGATCTCATCGATGTTTCTGGTCCTGCTTGTATTCTCCGTGGGAGGCCGAGCGCGTCTCCTTCTCAAGCTTGACGCACCGGATGTACTAGTGGATCTTTCGCCAAACTTGATCTGTGAAGGGTTGTGGTGCTTTACCTTAGCATCGACAAGATCCTGAGCTTGCGTGTCCGTGAGGGTTCCATTGGCATTGAGGCGTCGGCATGCTGAGCTCTGTCATCTGTCTACGGACCAAACCCGTGTCTGCTCTTCACCGGACAGGCTGTAAACGAAGAGAGGCTCTCTACCCCTAATCTATGCCACGGCTGATGCGATTGAGTTGATAGCGCTGCGGAGATGGGGCATGAGTCCTGGACTTCGTCGCTGTGTTAGCCCGTTATCGTGATGGATTCGTATCGTGAGGGTTAGGCTCAAATGCACATACTGAATCTTATCGCCCCATCTGAGGGTAAGTCTTCGACTCCCCGTGGGATTATGCAAGGGACGACTTACTGCATTATCCGTGATGATGCCGGTCGGTAGAAAGGTGACATTTACGCCCACTCTCGAGAGTTGCTACTCGAACTGAACGCGATTACTCACGCAGCTTAGCGGTACGTTGCCCACGTTGCATGGAGTACAGTGCATGGGTGATCCGTTCCATTGGTGCGTCCCACCAACGGACGGCACTTCAATGCCTTTATTCCACAATCGGCAAAACGTGTAATTGGCGTGCACTAGTTCAGCTAGCCAGTATTCCACACAATAGTAAGTCCATGCACCACACGTGTCGAGAAGCCCTCGAACACTTTGCGGTCGATTCGACGTTGTCCGTTGACCCACGAGCCAAAAACTACACACTCATCGCAGGTTTACGATTGAAGGCATTCGGTGAGGGATGATATCGGTCTATCGATGTGCCAGTCAACTATTCCGTAACCGAACTCGAATTCACCTGCCGATCGGCTCCTCAGTTTCGCTGGGCCGGCATATTCCAACAAATTTTAGATATCAAGACATATACTGTAAAATTACATATATCACAGCAGATGAGTCGCCGGAACACCTCTCATAAAACTGGTAATATTCTAGCCGCACGTTCGCTCATTTTGTCTTGTGGACCTTGTCGTTGGGAGGCTAAGTATTACGGTTAACTCCCGCAGGTTCGACAACAGTATGGAAACGTACAGGCATGATGTCGAGCGTCTTGCCAAGTTGGTCGAACTCCTGCTTGGTGGGGACTTCTGTGCCGCTGCAGACTAAAAGGCGAAGAGTCAGCTATCCAACCGCATAGGAAAGGGCGTGCGCTGACTGTCTTCGACGTGCTTCTCAGACTGGCCCATCTTCGAAGCGATCTCTCCGTAGGAGAGGCCTGATACCGACCGCAAACCAGTATATCAGCCAGTGCTCTATGGACGGCACGCTGTGAGTATCTTACCCTTCTTCTGCTGAGCGGCTTTGATAGCGGGGCAGGGGGTCTGGACGGCCATGGTTGGTTGGTCCTCGAAGGGGGGTGTGCAGGCTCTTATATACCTTTCCAGACTATGTTAACCGGATCGTTGCCGAACTGCTCTCGCGTTCCAAGGAGAACAGAGGTCCGACTTGGCATGCCGTGCACGATCAATACAACGCTTCAAGCTCTAAGCATGCCCAACCAGCTTACTGTCATTATTCACGGAAGCAAGACGGAAGCATGCCTCATGTACCCTGCTATCGGAAGGTGTCGGCGGAGGTGATGTGACCTTCCGCTTTTCTTTAGGTAAGCTGCAGTCCTCAAAGATGTGCTGTGCCCCATCAAGTGGTAGGACGATTGCTTGCCACCAACCCTGAGGGGCTCACGGGACTTAGTGCGTGGTGGAAGTCCAGGATCCAAAATGATATACATTGATCAACCCTGCCGCGCTCCTATCGTACAGAGTGTTGGTGATACAGTTCGTCCTTCGAATGGTGCGTCTATTTACTTCGTAACGTGGGCGGCATCATGAGGGGGCTATGCGGATTCGCGCTCTAGTCAGGACACGTGTGAAGACAGGAGTGGTCAGGCTCACAGCGTTCTTGACATCGAGAATCTCTGCCAGCTTGTCGAACTCCGTCTGAGTGGCAGTGGCAGTACCGGTGCAGACTAAGGAGGATAGCAGATCAGCCTCCGTCCCCTCATTCAGCAGTCCGCACACTTACTATCGATAACACGTTGCTCCGGCTCGCCCATCTTCTGGGCAATCTCGGTGTACGAGATTCCTAGCAGGGCAGATACGGTACATCAGCGGTCCAGTAGTACTCCATGCGACGAGATCGGCATACCCTTTCTCTCCTTTGCGGCGCGAAGGGCAGTGCAGCGGGGATCGGGGGCCATGATAGTTAATGCAAGTGTCGGATGCAGGTGTAGTGGATGGTTTGGGAGCAGTCAGATGAATCCCCGCAGGGTCTATATACAGATCAGGGCGTCTGTCCGGGAGTAAACGCTCGAAATGGATTGGTTGGGCGGAGCCGCGAAGGGAATGTCAGATGATCGATACGTTATCAGTCGTACCATCAACAGCTACAGTCTGTTGGGTTTGAAGAATATAATTATGAGTTTACAGACAGTATTTCGAACGCCATAGGCCGCCAGAGCTCAGATCTCAGCGCTCATCCAGAGGCCGCCCCAAGCCAAGTCATTGTAGGTATGCAATAGTGCCGAGGACATAGGTGCATGCCAAAAGCTGTAGAATGAACTGCAGTATTGTCTAAGAGCAAAACAACTTTCTCTTGAATCCCGAAGTTAATATCGAGCCAATAATATGTTGTACAACCACATCCGCGGAATCCTCACGCCAATTATGGCTTTTCGCTATGGATACGTATAAGATCCTCTGCAGCCGGCGACCGCGGCTTGATAGCGCATTTGAAGGGAGCAGACATTCTATACTCTGTGTGGGCCATGGAGTAGAAACCAAATGAAATAATTCGCTCACCCGATGATACCAGGCGACAGAGCTGGCTTGAGTGACACGGGGTTATCTTCCTGGTCCAAAGGAGGTGCGATGTCAAAGACAGACAAGACGGAGGTTACAAGGCTGAACATCATTCTGTCACTGAGGAACCTCCCAGGACAGATGCTAGTACATTGTTTTACTCAGTCGACTTCATATAAGTATCCCACATACCCCGCATGGCTCTTACCGTCTTCCGAAACCAAATGCTGCAACTCTGGGGTCCCTGACGTTAGGATTGATTCTACCATCCTCCAGGAATCGCTCAGGATTGAAGCGCTCTGGGTCGGGGTACTCTTTAGGATCGTGCAGAATCGACCTAACATACCGACTCAGTCTCCGAAATGCAGGTAACGTTTCGAGACCTACCAAGCGTTTCCGAACACAAGTGAACCCTTAGGAATGAAGTAACCTTGATACTCGTCATCCTCAGTGGAGCAATGCGGAAAGGCTTATATACAGAAAATTACGTTAACCGAAAGACAGCCCGTAGAGGACGCACTCGCCTAGGGGAGTTATAACTTGCCATCGCATGGTTTCCATAATCATAGCCTCGATATACGGAAGCCGATCTCTGTCAGAGAAGTCAGGCAGTCTGCTCGTTCCAACGACTTCATCCAATACTGCTTGTGCTCGTTTCTGGACATCAGGATACATGGCCATGGCAAGGAACCAGTTATGTGCTGTGGATACAGTCTGGAGGGGCTTAGGGCATAGAAGAGGGTCGATGATGATATTACTCACCGAATCGATGCCGGCTGGGTTAGTCATCGAGATGTTACTACTCCGCATTATATTGTGATCACCCGAGGAAGACCTACCAACGTACGCAATGCCTCCAAGATACTTTATCGTATCACGCTCATGTGCCGTATCTTCCATTTCTTCTGGCAGACCTTGAAGTGCCGCGGACGTGATGGACGGGGTAGCAGTTCCTTGGCGCTGTAGCCCGGTTTCAATGTAGATGTATGAGATCCGAGCAACTTCACTCACCACAGCATCTGCCACATTCTGAAAGGGTTTGTTAATCATGTCCTCCACGACTTTCCTCCAATATTTGGCTTTTTTTTGGAAGCCTGCACCGGGAAACCAAACTGGCACATATTTGACTGCAAGACTCCGACTCCATCAGAGAAGGGCCACACGAAATGCCAGCACAACCCACGGATCGGAATGTGGTTCACAAGAAACGCTCCTGGCATGCCTGACTCGGAAATACTCGCCATAGCTACTTCCGCGACTTGGATATACGGATCATCTTTATGCGATATCTCGATCCCATATGCGACGTCCATTATTAATGCAGTAACCATACTGCGGCGAATCAATATTTGCATGACTGGGAAGACTGGCAGCGTACGTACTGGCGAACATGAGCAAAGAATTCGTCCGGGTCTGCCAGAAAGCGACCAAGGGATTTCCGTGCTGCCTGAATCAGCTGGGGTTGGTATTCCTCTACTGCTCCCGGGTTGAAATATTGATGGAAGGCACGTCTTCCCTTCCGCCATTCTTCACCATACGGAAGCATTGCGAAAAACCATCCCCATCCCACCCTATGCATACACAGTGAGATAACGAACGAAAGCAGGATATACTGTACGGACAATTCAATAATCATGGGTTGGCGACTCCTGCTCGAATATATAGCAGATCGCGTCTCGAAAATGTCGGAAATTGCTTGCAGAGAGTTCAGGACGACTATGTGCTGTCCCAATATACTTATGTGTATCACATGCCCTGCAAGCGCTTCAATTCCTTTGGGCAAAGGCAGGGCTACGAAAGACATACCATACTCCTTCGACCACTCATGAAACTTCAAGTGTTGTTGGTCATGTGGTAAATCAAAGAGATTTCCGACTAGGAGTCGTCCTGGAGGACCCGGAGGAAGTCCTAGAGACATTGTGTTAGCATAAAATGCCGAGGCCACGACCATCGTCCGTACTTGTCCTGCGATTTCGAACATACTTCCAAGTCCAGAGCGCAAGTGCAGTTAGAATGCAGACAAGGATCGAAGATGATGACATTTAAATCCGTGTAGCAACGAAACAGCAGCTCGTGCTTGTCCTGGGCTGCCCGGCGGATTCAGTATATATACTCCTGAGTCTGAGCAAGATCATCACGAGTGGGGGTTGACTGTTTGGGCGACATTGTATGCCAGGTCACGGTTCATCACGACCCGTCTCGTACGTTGCTGAGTTCCTATTCAGAATGGCTTGCAACGTGCCTCTGACGGCCGTCTGTAGTACTGTATGATTTCGATCTATTCGGCAGTCACGCGTCACAGGGGTACCTGCCGAAGTTCAAATGACGAATCGGTCAGATGAGTCACACGTCACACCGCCTGCCGAATAGATCGAAGTACATGTAGTAGTTTGATCCACTTGTGAAAAGTTGCCACCGGCGCGTCCGCGGCCCCCGAGAACCCTCTCTTTCCTGTCCTTCCCCTAACTTGACTCCAGTTTGACTCACGTAGCTTTCGGATGTGAACTTAAGCTTGGTGTCCTCATTGACCTTCTCTTCCATATACAACGCCTGGAAGGGGACAGGCTGTCACAGGAAGATCTGAAGCTGACTTAGAATAACTACAACGCAAGCTTTCCTTGAGCATACCCAGGTGACAGTGGGATTACAGTCCGGAACTGTTGCATGTCATAGCTCCACAAGGTTCCGAATCGCAATATTGACTGGAAGGTGATTCGATCCAGCCTGAGGATCAGGATATCCCGCGGGCCGTAGCCGGTACCGAATCCACATAAATAACAGATTTAGCCTCCCTCCAGTATCGCCTAGCAAACGGGATGGCTCCTATAGAAGCGTATGCACCGCCGCCACTCGGGATAGCGAAGTAAACTGTTCCCGTATCAGACATCCTTGTTTGATCTTTGCCTTAATTTAAACTAAGGAGAAGACATGTCCAAACAGTGGCGTTGATACACAAGATGCAGGTCCTCTGTTTTGCCGCCACTGGACGCTCTTCGACCACCGCCCCGAAGAGACACACACCGGCTGTTACTTTTCTTTCCGAAGATGTCCCATATACCCTGCTTGGCGGTGAGTGCGTCTCACGTCACGCGCGTGTCTTTGCAGAGCTGATATTCTCATGAGATCTAATCCTGGATCCTGGAGAGAGCACCCGGTACCGGGGGGGGGGGGGTGAGTGAGCGTAGTCGCACGTCAAGAAATTTGACCTTTCAATGATTTGTGGCGCCTTGTCTGCACCGGGACGATGTGCATTTTATACGGTAGCAATGCTGCTATAATGCGCTGGTACGTTTCCGCCTGTACGCCACTCACTTCGTAGCCTCACAATACTCACTAGGTAAAGGTTATGATACGATTGAGAGCAGTGCATTTCAAGTCATGCATGGATCGAATCTCGTACAGCGTGATTGATGATTAGTAAAATCGAATCAAGACATCAAGATATCATTCCAACTTAGCTCCTCCTTCTGTTTGATATCACCCAGAGAGAGGTGTCGCCTGGAGCCACTTGGTATAAAATATCGACATGGAAGCGTTTGCTCCCTTTACCTCCCCAGGATATCTGGCAGCGAGATGTGCGGCCCAGATATACCCAGCGACATTGCCGGACAGTGCGTATCTCATCAACTCTTCGTCTTCTGCAACAGTCTAAGTCCGCGTTGCTGAGTTCTTCTGCTCTTTTAGGAATGGACCTTTGGTACGTCTGTCAATACCGGAAATGTGATCGTGAGCTAAACATTTATCTAGCTCATGGGATACCTGTTCTCGTATCTCTTGCAAGGCATCCTCATAGTGCAAGTATGTAAGTCGATGAAAGTTCCGATTCAACACTCTTGAATGCCCTACTCACTTGCGCCGCGAACGATAGTCATCTTCTGTAGCCAGCCGACGTATGCAACGGATAGGTTGCCGATAAAGGTCACAGGTAACGCCGCACTCTAGAAGTCTGCCGAATACCCTACTCAACGCCATGCCTCTAGTGTGGATTGTCTTCTGCTTGGAGATAGTGTCAACTGCCTTTGCTACTGTCTCGGCGTGGTATGGCTTAGCTTCGGGGTGGGGGGACCCGCGAACCCTCATTAATCCTAGCTGGGCTTTCGCGTATACGCCGGCCCTCCATGGAATCAGTGAGTTTGCCTCGCGAATCATTGAGGAATACTCATGAAGGACTCAGTCGCCCTCAGCGTACAACTGTTCTTCTGTTGGCGTATGACTCTGTTCGGAAGCGGTTTCGTAGTTCCGTCCTTTATAGCCACTGTACGTTGAGTAGCCTCTATTCACAGTGAAACTAACGCCTGCGGGCAGGTTTGTCTTATGCAATCGGCTATGGCAATCGCTTGCGGCGTGAAGGTTAGCAACTGCGTCTGGTGGCTCCATCGTGAACTTACACTGCCTTAGATCTGGGAGCTACCTGATCTCGACGCCATTTACGGCATAATACCCTTCGTTTCTGTGAGGCCATCCCTCTCATATTTCTTGGGCTTCCAAGTGACGCTTCCTTTCTCAGGTCTGGTTGGGAGGCAGCGCATTCTGTGATATTATGATCGCTATAAACATGGTTTACCTAGTACGCCAAGTCTCTCTGAGATGTTTTCCCCCCTAACTGATCATGCCCAGCTTTACAGAGCGGGACGCGAAGCCGACTTCAAAGCGACTTACCACCTTCTCTTACGTCCCATAATGATATGCGTAGAAACCGGAATAATGACTGCGTGTTCCTCCATCATGCACCTCGTTCTTTTCTTGGCCATCCGCAACGATAACGCCCACTTTACCTTGTGAGTGACCGTCTCTTCTCATGTCAGTATTACTCAGACTAGTCCCGCAGCCTATTCCTGACTGCCAAGCTGTAAGTACCCCCGCCTGGATACGGAATCCCACTTATCTTACGTGACTCGTAGATATTCCAATACACTCCTTGCTACATTAAACGTACGCAGGACTCGCCCGGAGAATAGACCGACTAGCGCGTTTCACGGTCACTCACGGTCGACCAATCAGAAAGGACAGTCTTCCTGGGAAGCCGAGCTGGACAGGATCCAGCCATCCCGTCTCAGCGGTCGGACGCCTGCGACTGTTTTTATTACAACCAGCACTTCCACGCACAAAGACGATGAAGCCGTTCTGGATATAGGCCATGCCAATATTGTCTGATAATGGGATGGACTCCTCGAGCGTCCCGAGCGCTGCTGTGCTGCTCTAGCATGTACAAACGAGATACATAGGGCGTAAAACAGTTTGAAATGTACTTCTACCTGGGTATAAATCATTTGGGTGTACCGGGATCATCCTAGCCTTAGGCCGGGTGCATGAGAATAGGACCCCTGAAAGTACCAATGGAGGTTAGATACCAGAGAACCTGATTTCCTTCATTTTTACCGGGACCGAATTTCGCTTAATTTGGCTGTTTTTACCGGGACGCGATACCAACCTAGCCGTGTGGCTCGAGATTTACCGGGATCCAGATATCCAACCTCCGAATTTTGATCCGGTTACAAGGGTCTTTCTTAGCCAAATTTGATCAAAATAAGGCATTATTCGCTACAATATGCTATATTTAGGCCCAATGTTGCCAAAACAGTGCAATCTCAGCTCAAATATTTATTGGGGCAAATTGTGGCTGCACAAGCGAGTGATTGAGTGCCGGGAGAAGCCGGGTCTATACCACAATGGTATCTGACCTTGGATATCGAGCCTCAATTCTACCGGGACTGAAGTATCCGGCCTCTTGGGCGCTTCGCCACATTTTACCGCAACCGTATCTAACATACGGCCTCCAGACCTCACTTTTTTACGGAATCGGTATCTAACCTCCATCGGTATTTTCAGGGGTCCTATGAGAATTCGGGGTCCTTACCACATGCACGTGCAGCTCACGTGGTGTCAGGTGTCGCTGTGGCTGCACCATGGGCGCATGTTTCGCCAGTGTCTCGTCTTGCCACCTTTGCCACACGCAGACCTCGGAATGCACATCAAAGTGCCACGAACCGTTTCCCCTTCGCCTGTTCGACGGTGACTATGTTGTTCTCTTACATTTTATTCATGTTCACGATGTCTTATACAGGAATATCCGGCAGGGCTCTACCTTTGGCGTGCCAAAGGACGACGAATGGTACGATTCGGATTCGAACGAGTCGGAATCGGCGTCTTCAAGTTCGTCGTCGTCGGACTCGTTCTTCTATGACTCTGAGCCGGAAGAGACTCTACCCATAACGTGGGTCAGTTCGGTACGCTTTGCAAGCTGATCTGATACCTCTCTATTCAGAAAGCCCAAGATACCGCGCACAGACGAGGAGATTCGTGCTATTGAGGAGGCAGTAAACTCCATTCGGATCCGCACGAGACACAGCGATCCTTACGAGGAATGGGAGCGGAAGACGAAGGAGGAGGCTCTGGTGAGTGCACGGAGGGCGCACGCGTTGCTGCGCAGCCGTCGACGCAAAGTCCAAGAAGCGACGGAAGCGGAGGAGGCCAAGAGGTTGGCGGCGCTGCATAAGAAACAGATGGAGGAGGTCGAGGCCCGGATCGCGAAGCTACAGATGGAACAGCAGAGCGAAGAGGAGAAACTACGCGAGGCGTGGAAAGCACGCGACAAGCGCCTGTGGGAGCGGATAGAGGCGGTAATTAAGGCCGAGGAGGACAAGGTGAAGGCAAAACTAGAGGCAGACCGCAAGGCAAAGGAGGAAGCGGAGAAGAAGAAGAGGGAAGAGGAAGAGAGGCGTAGGCAGGAGGAAGAGCGAAAGCGCAAGGAGGCGGAGGAGGCGAGGTTGAAGAAGGAACGGGAGGAGACAGAAGCTAGGGAACAGCAGGCGAAGGAAGAGGAACAGAAGCGGAAGGAGGAGGAGATGACCAAGGCTCAGGCGGAGAAGCTAAAGCAGGAGGAAAAGGAGAGGGAAGCGTTGGGTATGACTACGGCAGAGGATGACTGGCGACGTGCCCGAGACTCTTTAAAGGTGCGGGGACAGCCCTCCGGTCTCTGATATTCGTTCATAGTCGATTCCTCAGCGACTTAAAGGCGGGCCCATGAAGACCGTCAAATCCAACAAGGAGTTGAAGTCAGCGTGGGGCAAGGTCAGGCGTGAGATCACGCCTAAGATCGGGCAGCTAACCAACGACACCCGCGAGATCGACCGTATCGTAAGTAACGCACCGCCCACGCTGTCGCGGTTACTAATCACGATGCCAGTCACACCAAATCGTCGACATGATCCGCCCCACGCAGCGGCAATCCGGCGACCTGTACTACGCCTGCCTCTCCTCCCTTGCCAAGGCCATTCTCCTGCAAGCCGAGACAGAAGTGACCGCGGAGAAACGCAGCGCCTTGCCCCTCGTCCAGGTCACAGTCAACATGCTCTCCGCGCTTGAGTCCTTTGGCGAGATCTTCTTCGCAAAGCTCTGCCAGCGCTCGGGCGGGTGGCCCATCCCCGCCGTCGTGCCATCCGTCGATGTGGATGGGACACCGTTCGATGCGGAGACGCGGAAGAAAGCGATGGGGTACCGCGCAGAGGAGTCGCAGAGCGAGTTCGCCACGAGGCTCGCGGGGATGATGCGCGTGTATTTCGCGGTTCTGGTCGCGCCTGTGCAGAGCCCGCTGGATAAGATGTTCCAGCTTCCGCGGGTGTGGACGTACTTTGCGCGGATGCTGAGTACGCCGCAGCTGCTCTCCTCGCCCATTGCACCGTCGCTCTTACATAGTGAGTGAAAGCCCGTTTTCATTGTTAGTGCAGTGCTAAGAGTATTTCAATGTAGTTGCTCTCGATGTCGGCGGCATTGAGGCCAAGCACGTCTTCGGGAAGCAGTGGGTGAAGATGATGGAACTCCTGTATGAGGGTGTTACCACGGGTATCGGAGGGGCCAGTGAGCGAGTCCTTGGAGGCTCTTCTCCCGAGGGTAAGGCTGCACGGGTGCGGGTCCAACTCGAGATCGAGCGAGTCATGAGCGCACCATAGTACATAGTTCGAACGGGTGTGCTATTGATATTTCTGGGGATAGAGCTGTCATGAACTCTTAGCTGTAGATTATCTGTACACTAGTTTAACGAATGGTCATGTCGACCACGATTCAGTATTACTGAGAGGAAGTTGGAGCTGTATCTGATATTGAGCGCCGCGTCTTCATCTACGCGAATAATGCAACATCAGACTCGACGCTACCAGTGACAGCGCATGCGGAAGCCAACGCGAAACCTGAAAGTAGGCGATGCGTAAATTCTGCCGAATAAGTATGCAATTGCTTGAGTAGTACAACACAACAATCAAGATAGCTAGCTAGCGAGTCTGTCTGTCTGAGCCGAGTGTCTGGGAATGCGAGGCGGGAATCGTGGAGAGTGCAAGGCGAAACCAGGGCCCAAGAGCGATGAGGAGGAAGCGGAAGGATTATGGGAGTGCAGGTGACACAAGAAGTCCTTGTGAAGGGGAAACGGGAAGGGGAAGATAGGACAGGAGGTAGTGGTATGGTGGAGGTGCGGCCTAGTGGTAGGGTATCGGGCCGCACATTATGTGTATACGGATGTATATAGTGACTATAGAACGGCAGCCGTCGTGGTGACAGGGCTGGTCAGGGAAGGTGGGCGAGCGAAGCGGACGAGATCAGAGGTTCTGTATCTGGACGATCAGGAACTGCTTCTCGTCCTATGGGAATACGATCAGCTCGAGTACAGAGCGACTAAGCAAAGAATGCACGTACTGTGAACTGCTCGTCCTCCTTGTCGTTGTGGAAGTTCTTCAGGAACGCTAACAGTTTCTCCTTATTCCTCCGGAGGATCGCTTCGATCTGTGGGGGTTTCTTGGGGTTCGCAACAAAGACCTACAGTTGTAAGGAAGGTTAATCTCGACCAGCAAGGCGCACAGGGACTGGTACACACCTTGAAGACGTGGAATGCCTCGAACTGGATGTTCTTGCTCTTGTCTCGGAGCAGGTTCATCATCATCTTCAAGTTCGCTTCGTTTGCGATGTACCGGGTCATCACGTTGAAGTTGGCTCGGTCCAGGAGGATTTCGCCGAGCAGCTTTAATGACTGTCGCTTTGTAACATAGTTGTTGGAGAGGATGAGCGTGGTGAAGGATGAAAAGAACTGGAAATGACGGGGGCGATATAATTAAAATATTCAGGTCGACAGCCAGCAAGGCTACGCACCCGATCATAGTTCTTGTCTAGGAATTCTGCGACCATGGGCTTGTGCCGTGTTAAGCACTCCTTGAGGTTCGTATAGACGTCGCAAGAAATGCCGAACGTGGTGGTCTCAATGTAGTGAGGGAACATGTAAAATCTGACGATGATAAGGGGCTAAAATCCCTCAAACTAATATCAGGGCACTCACTGTTCAGAATACAACAGAATCTTGCACAAAGGCTCGTGCCTTAGCATCTCGCGCAAAATCATCCCTGTGTTCAGCGCCACCTCCTCGTTCTCGTAGCCCTTGAATGCGGCGAAGATCACGTCTTTCTTCTGGCATATGTACTCCACTGTTGGGTATCGTGAACCAATCTGCCGTCGGAGAAGGTTATTAAATATCTGAACGACGTCCTTCCGGGCTTCGAACTCGAACTTTGCAATATTGACGACCAGATGGTATAACAGATCCGTGCTGTACGTCTCCTGTGCAAGCTGGGCCACTACCTCAGGCACGGGATCTGCGGGTAGACAAACAGAGACCATATATACCAAATGAGCCATACTATCTCTGCATATCCTAATCAGACCCTACGCACCTCCGTCGCCATATAAGATCCCCTTGATCGCCTGCAGATTCTTGGATACTTCTTCGTTGGCCTATAAGGACGGTCAGCATCACGATCGACCTCGTCGGCTCTTCCGCACCAGTGAAACGAGATCACCGCACCTTTCGCCTCGTCTCTCCGCCCGGTGGCCCCGCCTCCAACTTCGGGATCGCGTCCCGGAGCCCTCGGACGAGATCAGGGGGTGTGCGCGGTTTTGTCTTGAAAAAATTCATGGTTTATGCCTGCGACGCCCCTCGCGCAGCGATGGTAAACCTGGACGTCGTAGGCAACAGCGACGAGAGAGTCGGCACCGGGGGAGACGGTGGGCGGTATGTAACGAAATCGGTTCGTTTGAACCAGTTGAAATGCCTACGAGGTACGCGTTTACGTAAGCAATTACGTCTTCTCAAGCCTTTGTAATACTTCGGTTCCTGCCACAGGCCACAACTTTGAGCGGTGTCCGCTCCCAGTGCTACTGCCAGTAGTGGCTATAGTCGCCGGCTGAGCTAGCGGGTGCTAAGTTATAGTCCATCGAGGCGGTGAAGCGCTCGCAGATGGCTTGGGGCGCCAGACCGCAATAGTCGACCTGGGTATCAGAGCCTTTGCTCATGACTCGTACGGGGATGCGTTTCCTCCTCTCCTTGGGCTACAACTGTCACCGACATGTCCAGATTATGAAATATTAACAAACGTGTAGTAAGTCGATCCGCTGCAAATGATATCACAGTTGACCTAGTATCTAATCATCCGCGGTGGATCTGCACTGTCGGTCCGAGCTGTGGGACATGAACTCCGAAATGAACTGTTGTGACCAACATAAGGCAAGGCTTGCCTCCCTCTTCTTTCAATCCGCTTGCATCTCTTACAGCGGTCACATGGAACAGCGTGCAAGCTGTGCACTCGAGAGAGGTCATCAGTGCAAGGCTGATTTCACGTGCGGTCATGCTGCCGTAAATAAAACCGGTCGAAGCGATTTATACTTCTCATCCTGGGTTCTTCCCCTCATGTGCGCCATTTGCTGGTGGACTAGCTTTCACGATAACGCTGCTTCCGCGCTCACGATGAGCTGCCTGTCAGTCGGACTGCCTACTGTCTGCTCTTCTTGCGGATAATCTCCGTTCTTAGGCGCTATTATGTAGGAATTTCCATATCAAGTATCCAGCGACTATATTTACGCCTACACAGGATGCCATTCTTTGGACGAGGGATCATTGCGCCCGACCGAGGCCGACGGCGTCATTACTGAGCCGGTCTGAAGGTTCTACTGACGGTAAATGACCGAACGCCAGAGCTTCAGGTCGACGCAGGACACTCAGTCTTTAGGGAAAGAACCATCCCCAGCGGTCTTGACTCCAGACCCGGCTTGTTGACGTGGAATGTGGAGGATATCTTCCGTCTCTGCTGGATAGCGCTGTGTCGTGACAGACCATCTCTCCTGGAAGAATTCTGTGTTAAGTAGTACTCGCCCGCGCTTGACGTCGGGAGATAGGCATTCCGGTGCTAGGGTTTGATACGCTGTGCCCCCTATAGTCGCGAGCAGTCCCGGTCGCTCTGACAGGCATAGTCGTCCAGGATGTTGTACGGAACAAGAGCGAGCAGCATTGGGCGTCCTCTCACATTTTTGGAGCCGTCGAGACGTCCACCGTGACTGGCCTTTAGCTGCGCAAGTGTCCTCAGTCACAAACTTTAGGGCCTGGAAAAATCCTATTATCTCGTGTGCCACATCCTTTCGACTTCCCATCTCTGACATGCGCCGCTGAACGAAGGCTCTATTTCTTGTTCCTGTGGTCAGTAGCAGTTTACTCTATCGCTCGTCATTGTCTTGCGGCTTCAATGTCTTCGCCTCCGCCCCCGCCCCTTTTCTCAACCCGTTCACCATCTCGTCCTCGAGCTAGCTCCGTTCGGCAAGAAGTTGCTCCGTATCGCACTCTTTGCGGGGTTGCCGAAACCGGAAGCCTTTTTATATTCCACGTAGGAGCCGGTAGAACTCTACTCATGGGTTACAGCGTCCCTGCTACTCCGTTTAATGTGCACAGAGGTGGTCCATAGACATGTGTCAAATACAAAATCTCCATCAATGCGAGGGACCTGTGGGGCTAAATGAATTCCACTCATGACAGGTTTTACAGCCGCAAGACCTAATGCCGAGAAACGGGCGTCGGGGTCCTTGGGGAGGTGCTCGTGAGGGCCATCCAGTGTTGCTCAATGCTCAAATCTCCGGCTCGACGACATAGGCGTAGGGATTTGTGCAAACGCCCATCCCGACGCGTCGGGCAGCATAGTTCAAAAGACTTGTTGCCGCCGGTGCCCCCTCGTTGTACATCGCTCTGCTGAGGGTCTAAGTAAGAGCTATGGTACCCTACGCTGAACGAGCAGGTGATATACGTCTGCGGTATTGTTGCGTCTATCGCACCCGCAGTTAATGAGGCCGATGTCACCTGTCGATGGGCTGTCTACTCAGTATCTGGTAAACATAACTTGTTGAGGCTTGGAGTAGCTGTAGGCAAGTATTTGAGACAGTGTTGGGCCGGTTGACGCCAGTTAGTTTAGTTGTTTCGTCAACTAAGCAACTAGTTCTACAAAGTTTAAGAACCGTTGACTTTTCGTCAACCTGCCCACGGAGGTCAACTTTCCCACTCACTACCATATACGGTGAAAAGCCTTAGCTAAGCGCATGAGTTCAAGACTATAGAGAGCAACCCATCATCCCTGCAATCAGAACGGACGGGGAACTCAACATCTCGACGGGAACTGAGGAGGACTGCTGGCGGGCAAAGCTCGCGCCACAGTTCCGCCGGAAAGTTATCCAAAAGTAAACGGAACTAGTTGACGAGTTGACGCAGGTATCGTCCCATAAAAACGCTGAGGTGTGACACCTCAAAATATTGAGGTGACGGCACCTCCGAATATTGAGGTGCATCTAAAAATAGAAACAAGGGTTGGGCCACGCGAAAAGAAATGCCCGCGCACAGAGTCGAACTCTGGACAGCGGGGAAAAGGATTACATAATACTACAGTGAGCGCACTAGACCGCTACGCCATAAGGCAGTGTAAAGGTTACAAAATACAGCCGCTATGTAGTCCTGGGAAACAAGCGCGCCCTAGGGTTCGGGTTACATCAGATGACATAACATTTGATGGACTCGTGATCGGGGAAGACCGCGGCCGATCACATCAAATGTTATGTCATCTGATGTAACCCGAACCCTAG